GCGCAAGGATGCAGCCAGCTTTAACTGACCTCTTTGTCAGCTATTCTCCAGCATGCGTTTAAGCTGGCAGAAGTGCACTTGGGCCGGGCTGAGTGAGAGCGTCTTGAAACTTGAGCCTATAAAGCCGCATTAGCTGTGGTTTATTCTAACAGGGACTTGGGCCACTGCAGCTAAAGTAACATTAGAAGAGCGATATCCATTAACAAAAGAAAGCATCTGCAGAGAGGAACTGTAATTCCTCTGGAAGCACAAGGGGCCATTTTGTGTGTTGCATTATTTTCTACACATGCGGACGCACAGCCATGATCCTCCTTTCCTTCCTCTACCTTTTCCTCATGGTTAAACTTCAGTCTGTAAGCTTCTTGGGGCAGAGCACTTGTGCTTTAAATCACACACTGTATGCTGCTATACAAAGACTCGTATCAGTAATGCGTTTTGTAACCTGCATGAGTGGCCCTTGGAAGGCATACTTTCCATTTTAAGAGATAATTATACGTATTTTTCCTGTCCAGAAGCCAGTTCTCTGGGGAGAAGGGAATTTTCTGTAGGCTTCCAGTGTGCCTGCAGCATCCCCAGTATGCCCTTTATTTAGGATGGGTTAATCAGTCGGTCTCTGGTTCACGTCAGTTTTGCACGTTTTCAGCCCTAAGTCCACTATCCCATTCTGCATCAGCCTGTAACTTTTTAACTTCTGCACAACATTGATTTTTGCATACTACTTCCCCCAAAACATGCTTTTTGAGTGTCTTTGTTGTAGTTTACAGTGCTGAATGCAGAAAATCTGAAGGATATCTACATTACAATCCTCCAGTTAGTCTAGGAAGTATGAATTAGATACAGTTCCTCAAATATGCAGCCTAAATGAAATTGTACACCATTCCTACCCCTATCAAGAGATTAATCAATACTCTGGAAGCTCATAACTAGGCCAGAAAAATCCTTGCCCTTACTCTAAAACAGAAGGTAGGCAAGGTGCAGTCCGCATGCGGGTCCTTCACTGCCCCCCCCCCACTGCTGTGTCACTGACACTGGCAGTACCAGTAAAGCAGGGGAGGGGGAGGCAGTTGGCCACCGAGTGTTAGTGGCAAGCCACCAAAGCAGGGTAAGTTGGACGAAACAAGGTGAAATCGTCTCTTTCACCATTCCGTAGCTGTTTGCCACCAACACTTGGTGGCCAGCAATGCTGTTTGCTGCCGCCGTCTTTGGTCGCATGGTAATTGTGGGACATGAATGGGGGTTAAAAGTGTCACTCAGCCTCACAAAGTTGGCCACCCTTGCTCTAACCTTTGATTCCACCTGTTTCCCAGGGTCTCCTCCTACTTTATTTATTTATTTATTTAGAAAATTTCTATGCCGCCCCATTCGGCGAAGCCTCGGGGTGGCTCACAAAACATAAATATAACACAAAATATAATACATTAAAAATTTAAAACGAATTACAATATAAAATAAGTCGCCCTGGCCAAAGAATAAAATAAATAAATTCTATTAACAGTTAAAATGACATTTGAATAAAAAGGTCTTCGCCTGGCGCCGAAATACAAATAACGATGGCGCCAGGCGGACCTCTCTGGGGAGCGCATTCCATAGATTGGGCGCCACCGCAGAGAAAGCCCTCCTCCGGGTACTCACCCTCCTAATATCATTCACAGAGGGTTCCCAGAGAAGGGCCTCTCCCGCAGATCTCCGGGGGCGGGATACGTATATGGATGCAAGGTATACTTTAACCTTGTTCCGTCAGACTGACTACTTGGATTTCATTTCTTTCAGTGTGCTGGACTACAGGTTTGGCCAGACTCGTGGCTTGCACCCCTAGAAAGACAAACCAGCACTGGGGTTCTGCATTTGCCAGGAAGTGCAGAGTCCTGCTAGCATGCAGCAGATTATCCTGTGACTGACTGAACACCACTGGCATCCATTCAACAAAGCATGAAAATTCAAAAGGGATAACATCTGATCTCTAAAGTTAATACATTTTGGATGTCTCATAAGGTATTTAGGTTTTGGATACAGGGTTATCCCATTTAGAAGAGGTGATACGGAATCTATTTACCTGCTACATGTTTTGCTGGAATATTCCAGCATAAATAATCAGCATTCCATTTTACATGATCAGACTCAGCAAAACATAACGTGTGACTGATTTGATCTGAACAAGGCATAACTGAGGAAAAGAACCTCTAATGAGGCTCTATTTATTCTTGGCTCTTTGATTCAACCTTCCAATTTCATGGATTAACAACATATGAAACAAAAGTGAACCCAAGTCAATGATTTGCTAACGTAATTCTTCTTGTGCTGATTTGTTGTAAATTGTAGAAGAGTTGCATGGTTAGTCTGTTGCAAGGTGTGCTATGAGCCCTTAAAGATGTACCCAATGAGGGTATGAACTGAAGAAATGTGATCAGTGCTTTTCCTTGTGGTACCACCTTCATCTACAGGTGTTAATGGTACAGGCCAAGTGTTTGAATACACCTCTCTTTTTTAAAATATGGAGACCGATTAAACAAACAACCTCCCCACCTGTAGCCTGAAGTGGTCAAGTCTAAGAAAGGCTTGACTCACTTGATTCCAGTTGATTCCATGAAAATCATCTAGTCCTGAGGAAGCTGAAACAGCCCTGCTAAACTGCACTAAAGGTATCCAGGTAAGTAGTCAGTTTCCAGCACACGAAGGCAAGAGCCCTTCCTTGCAGGCCTCAAGCATGATTTTTGGAAGACCCAGTAGAAATTTGTAAGAAACTCACATTCTGAATTGCAAGGTCAGGGTAAAGGTTGAAGGTTGATCTGCTCTGTTCAGGTACAGAATGGATGAACAGGACCATATGGATGCTCAACCATGATCTACAACTTTGCCTCAGCATCCTCCATCAAGGTAAGGTGGCTACAGCCTGATCTGGACAGTCAGGATCTCCAAGTTCCATTCCAGTTTACCATCCCTGCCAATGCCTGAGCTTGGCTTCCTTGTTGTTTGACCCCAGCAACTGAGACTCATGGGCATACCACCTCTGAAGAGGGAAGTTCTCCATAGCCATCAGGAATGACAGACCTATCCTTCCAGTATTCTCCTTCTTTGAATCAAACATCTGAACAAGCAGGCCAGCCTTCAGAGCCCTGAAATTACAGGAACTGGCTGTGAGAGTTTTCAAAGGATGTTTACTACTCCTGCCTTTTACTCCCACAGCTAAATGTGAAATTGACAATAGTAAAGGGAAACAGGAGGCCTGTGGGTGGACTGAGATGGAGGCCAAGGCCTGTGAGAAAAATATTGTCAGGCTCTGCGGACAAGCAATTAATTTTTCACAGCTGTCTCCAAGCTGTATTTGTCCAGCTCTGCCTAAGAACTTTACTTTGCAACTAAAGTCTTCCCTTTCACTTAATGCATCCTTCGCCAGCATAAGCAAAGATCTTAGCTGCTTTAAAACAGCTGATTATACCATCTTGGTTTAATATACATCACAAATTGTTTAAGCGTGAGCTTTTTTGCTCTTCGAATTGTAGGTACTTCTGTAATGAATCATAAATGATATGTATTTGCATATTAGCAGGCTACAAGCTGTGATACAAATAACAGGAATAATGAAATGCAGAAGTCTCAAAAGATTATATGTCATAAGGACACAAAATGATATATATTATTCCTTCTGAAAGACTATCAAATGATTCTTAAAATGCCGCAGTGGGGTGACAGTAGTGGAATCAAGATTATTTGAGAAAGGAAATGCTACTCTTTGTAGATAAAGCCCGAGGTTTCAACTGATCAATTTGGGAATTCCAGAATATGGATGAATGAAATGCAAGCCAGTGAAGCGCAAACTGCTACTTACAGTTATGCCCTTAAAATGCTAGCTTCTGAGATAATTCTGAATGGCAGAGCATGAGACACTAGAAACAGAAGGATACATATATATGGTTGTTAACATGGGATTGATTAGGTTCAGTGTCTTATAGCATAATCTAATACAAGAAGGCCCCATTGAATTCAATGGAACTTAACTGATGTTAGGAGGAGGAGCAAAGACTTAGCCACTACTGCTACCACCCCCCCCCCCATTTATCAGTACTATGGCTGGACACAGAGCTCAGGGAAGCAGTCTATTTCTGCCCCATGTCATTCTCACATCTGTTTACTCTTAAGTGGTTCTGTCTCATTTTTGCATTAATCTGTAATTTTTAAAAACTCTGCACTAAAGGTTCATTTAAATATATACATCTAAATAAGTAACATATTCCAAAATAAGCATTTCCAAATGTATTTTCTTTCCAAGTATGCATTTCTAATGTGTTTTGTTTTTGAGCTGTGAACTGCACTGTAGCATGTAGAGAAGCGTAAAATGCAATGGACAGCTACCCTCTGATCTGTACAATAGTCCATGCGGTGCAGATCAGTTCCACTGGCACTGGGACTCAAAGTTCAAATTTTTCAGGCATCCCTACCTGGGATCGCTCCTTCCCGTGTATTTGTCAGAACATTCTTGAACGCCAACTGCAGCTCCTTGTGCTGAGCTGCCATTCCTGACAGCCATGTTAACTTTAGGAATAGCTTGCGAGGAGGGGTAACAGCTCAACCTCAGTGCCATGGTGCATTCAGGTAAGAATGTTCCTCTCATGCTTTCTTTCCCTCTTCTTTTCTTTTTGCTCACTCAGGATTGGGAGTAGAGCAGCCACTTTTGAATCACCAAAAAGGAGGACTAAAAAAGGTATTGAATTGCATCACATTGGCCAATGCTTATTTATACCTCTCAATGCACATTGAGAAGTGATGATGGTGATTTACATGGACATACAGTTCATCTCACTAAGACCAGTGTGCCTTGTTCAGTCTGCTACACAGGTACAATTGGACAAAGTCAAGTCTTAACTCTGCCTTCTGATGGTCCTCAGTCTTTAAACTGGGCCTGGGCTGGAGAGGCCTTCAAACCAGGGATGCTTTCAAAACAGAGGGCAGTTCTCTGGCAGACCTTCAAATATGGTTATTTAAAGCATCAATACACCGCTTACCATGTGGGAGACAGGCTTCACTCTTCATACAGGGCCAGATCTGGCTCAGTCGCTGGTTGTTGCTGGCTTCCATAGAAAAGCAAGTGAGCCTCACAAAAGCAAGCATGTAAACAAAAAATTGAGTGTATCTAACCCATCTATTCACCCATTTCTCAAACACAATAGACAGACAGGCTATTTACATCCTATCATATCTCCTCAGTGTTCGAGGCAGCTTGCAAATAGATAGATAGATAGATAGATAGATAGATAGATAGATAGATAGATA